ACATGTTCATGTAGCGTATAGGGTCTAGATCTCAGATTGTATGCCTTAGCTTGAAGTATTAAGGGCTTTTGGGATCAACATCTAGGTCTTATGGAGTTAGGTTTTAAGCTAAATCACTTAAGGAAGGGTATTAACGGGTAAAGGTAGAAACTTTACCCTTAAAAGGACATTTTCGGTATATATGTGAAGTATGGAGCTTAGATATGAAGAATAGGGGCTTAATCCATTAAGAAAGGCTTAACAGACTAAAGAACTCGACGAGTTCATGGAGGAACTCCACGAGTTGGGACGATTTGTCCCGATCCTGTAAATGGCAGAATTCGACTAGTCTGAGGAAGGACTCGACGAGTTGACTCGTTTTATCACGATTCTGAGAAGCATGGAAACTCGACGAGTTGAGTCAACTCGTGGTTGACTTTGACTTTGACTGGACGTTGAATTTGACCTTGACCAAGGTTGACCCATGAAGGGGTTTTGGGAATGGAATGGTATCTAAGAAGTTGTTTTGTATAGGGTGTGAGTAGAGCCGGGTGCGGAACAGAGACGTTTCAGCTTTTCACACGATATTGAGGTGAATTTCCTTTTGGTTTGAATGGGTCGAAGGCACCAAGGCCGGCCCGTATCTCATAGATAGCCGAGTGTGGGCGAGTCCCGTATCTCATAGCATTATCTGAGTATGGATATAGGACTGATTGATAGATTTGACTATACTTGTTGTCTGTGTGATACTTGTATGTATGTTTAGTAGCTGAGTGTGGGCGGGGCCCATATCTCCTAGTAGCATGATTATGTGTATGACATGTGGTAGTTTGGGGAGACTCACTAAGCTTCGTGCTTACAGTTTTCAGTTTTGGTTTCAGGTACTTCCGGTAGCAAGGGGAAGAGCTTGGGATGACTGCAGTGCACACACCATTTGTTTAGCCTGGGATGTTTTACTCTGATATATTGACATGTGTTTTGATATGATACTCTGATTTGATACAATGACTTATGTTTTTGGATGAAATGATTTTGGTAACTAGGGTTTATTTAATAATTAAAAATGAAATTTTTGGACCGTATTTTTGGGATGTTTCATTATCAATGAAACATTCTATTATCTTACATGGTATCAGAGCTTTAGGTTAAAATCCTACTGCTGACCACAACCCGCTACCGCCGCCCTCCACCTCCGACGACATTCTCTCATAGTCGTCGGAGGTGCCTTTATTATGCTTCATATTCCCTTCGTTTGTTTTTTTCTTCTCCTAAATAATAAAACAACCGTCGCCGAAACCAAACTAGAGCTCTTAACTCGGCTTCTTCTACTGCCTCGTTTGCTTATGTCTCCTCGTCGGATGGCTCCTGCCTCTAAGCTTTCTGACTTCTCCTCAACTTGCCTCTTCTTCAGATCTATTTTCCGAGTCGGTCGGAATAGGCTCCGCCCGCCGCAGTTCGAGCGATCTTTCTTTTTCGCCACCTCTCGCTGCCTTTCTCCGGACTCCTCTGCCGTCAGTCGCATGATCGTCCTCATCGCCGTCACTCCTCTCTTCTTATACAAAGGAACCGCTGCTGGCCGTCACTTCTTCTCTTTCCTTCTCCGACGAGCAGTTATTGTTAGCTGTCACCCCCACTGCCATTGTCTTCATTTATGTTATGTTATGTTTTTGTTTTTCCAGTTTAATCGTCCCTTCGTGATCAAACCGCGGGGGGATGTTAGTGATTATGATTTAAGCCCAAGCCCTTTAGGGTTTAGATTATGTCTCTTGTGTATCCCTATTTATATGAGGTTTAACATCACTATTTATCAATGAAGCATTCTATTATTTTAAAGTTCGCCTACAGTAAAAAGACCTAGTAATGCTCGTTTGATCCTAGCATCATCATGTTTTTGTGTTTGTACACTAGTCTCACAATTTGGTTCATTCTTAAAATTCAATTTGGCTTGCTTTTTTATCATTTTTTTGTTCTTTGGGTTTAATTTGCAATTCTTCCAATGTTTGTTAATATTAGACGTCTTGTTTCGGTCTGTATTGGCTTTAAGTATTTTTTTTTACAATAAATACATTCCATGTTTTTCCTTTCAATACCATAATCCTCTATAGTTCACACCGGATCGAACGCTACCCAATAAGGAGCAGTCTCTTTATTATTATTCTTTGCCCTTTCTTGTTTGCTAGTAATAGGTTTTGACACACCTCCTTTCCTTTTCAATTTCTTTGGACTTGGCCATGACATGTCTTCTTTTCCAAGAGTCATCACTAATATTATTAATTATTGATGGTATATCACCAATAAAGTCATCTTCATAATCCTATATTTGTGAAAAGTAACAATCAAATCATCTTCATAATATATTTCTACAAACAATAAGAAATCGATATAGCGAGACTATACAACAATTTGACAACACGAAATTGAAAACTTACTTGAGGTTCGTCCAATCTTTTATCAACCCAATTAGACCTTGTGTAGTAACGGTGACAATTTTTTATTGTTGGTTTGGTTCACCATTGTCCACTGTGGGCTGTTTTTTGCATATCTAATTTAGAAAGAGAAAAATATCTTAAGTTAAAACACACGGAGCATGCCAATTAACATACTAAATCACATCAGTGTAAGGTTTCTATGGTCCATGTAGTCCCACACGATATTAGTAATAATAAGATTAAATTAATCACCAACTATTGAGTTGGAAGCTTACACTTTATTTCTCATAATCCTGATTTAACCCCAACATATGGTATCACATTCGAACTCATTATTGCATTAAGTTAATTAGCACATTAGTGCATTAAGTTAATAATTAGAACTCATCGTATCAAAACTCAAAAGAAGATATACGCACCTGAATGGATGAATCGACACACAGAATCGTCACAGAGGAGAACGATATATTTTTTCTTTTTGCTCTTTTCCCGCTCACAGTAGGCTCGATGTCGACTTTAGAGATGATGCGATGGATATTTTGTTTAGTGTAGGATTAGTATCGGTGTTTTTTTAGGAAAGGATTAGGATAAAATTTTGAAAAATTTCAATAATATTAGTTAGGACACTTTCTTAAGCCCATATGACAACATCATATGAGTGACCATAATAAGCTCTACCAACAGGGCCGGCCCATGGGCCTGGGCAAGCTGGGCGACCGCCCCGGGCCCCCAAATGCCAAAGGGCCCCCGTTTTATACTTCTTATATTAGTTATACAGTAACAACCCACTAGTTTTAAGCCTATTGGGCTGATTATTCGAAGCCCAAACCCCCAGTACTCGCCCAGTCCAAAAGTGGAAGCGAAGAGGAAGCGGGATAACTGGTGTGTGCTGTTCGACTTCCAAGGTGCCATAACTCTTCAAGAATCAATTTCTATGGAAAATCCAAACGTCTTCTCCAAATTCCAAAAGCAATGGTTAGTCGATTTCTTCTATTTCTTATTCAAATTTCAAGTTAATCGATTTCTCCTCATCTTTTCTGATTTTCTGATTTTGTCAACAAGTTGGTTCTCCTTTTTTTTTTTTTTTTTTTCAGATTTCACCATATCATACTACAGATATCAATATCAATAGTAAATCGAGAGTCTTATTGCTATTTACTTCTTTTTTTTCACGATTTCTGAGCACTGAAAGTCTGAAACTCGATTCTTTGCCATTGTTATTTCAATTTGAAGTTTCCTTTTTTCTGGAATAGCAAAATAGCACCAGACCACTGCTGTGATTGAGAATCAAGAGTCAAAGTCTTCTACTCTTATCGAAAATGAGAAGAAATCGCAAGTAGAGTTTGAGTATCGCACCTTCTGATTGTGAATATCTATAAGTTCTACTTTCTAACCTTTTTAAAAAAAAATTATTTTTCTGTTTTATTAAATTTTTATATGAATCTTTTCTAAACTTAATTTTATATTGTGTTACTTTGTAGAATCTTAGAATCTGAGTTCCCTTATGATTGTCAATCTCAGCCATCCCTTGAATTTTTGTAAGTCATTCTTGATATTTTTTTAGAGATGATTTCTTATTCATTGTCTTAATTTCAATTTTTGAATGTTGATCTTCTTAGTTTTGATTTCCCTGTTATTCTGAACTTCAAAAATTTATGCTTGTGATGAGCTTTTTCAATTGCTATGCTCTTCTACTCTTGGTTGGATTCCCACATCTATTGATCACATTATTCAATTTCTTAGAGGTTATTCACAGCATCACACGCATCCAACAGTAGGTACATATATGCATTGAAAAAGACTTGTTGGATAATATTGAACCTGATGCTATTACTGATGACTTTGTATCCAAAAAAGCTCGAAAAACATAACTTTCTTTAGTTTTATGTTTGCTATGTATATATATTGGAGTTCAGATAATGTGCATTTTTATTTTGTTGTTTTGTATTACTAGTTGTTAGGTTGTTTGGCTTCCGGGTCTCTAGAAAGCTTTTTCCTTTCAATAGTTTGGGAGTCCATTGTATTGTTTTTTCTAATTAATAAAATTCTATAGGTGTCACCTTTTTTACAGAAAAAAAAACTATATATATATATATATATATATTACGGAGGGCCCCATTTTTTTATTTTGCCCCGGACCTAAAATTGTCTTGGACCGGCCCTGTCTACCAACTACTTCATCATATGAACACAAATCTTCACTTCAATAAGACTTTTCTCATAATTATATTTCGGGTGTGTTCATTTAAGTTTCGGACTCTTATAACACATTTCATAACCAACAAATTTAATGCTAAATTATTTCATTATCTTTGTGACTTCAGACTTCTCCCTACCCAATCGTCCAATATATAGTTTAATTGTGTTTTTGGATGTCGAGTAAATAAAATGAAAAATGAAATTCCTTTTCACTGTAACCGAATTAAGGAAAATATGAACATACTATAAGAAGTAAGTTATGATCTCACAGCAATCACATTTATATATTTAGTTATATATCATAAATCATGTAAAAGAAAGAACTAGTAATTGATTTGATTGATTAATAATAGTAAGATTAGTTAGAACCAAAAACGAAGTACAAGTAGAACACCACTACGATACCAGCTTCTGAAGTATACCTCCTATCTCATCTAAGACCTCGTTTTATGACAACAATAACACTATTACTACGACGAGGCCCAATGGGTTGGTACACATAGTCTAAAAGTTGGGCTAGATTCAGCCCATTATAGTCCCAAATCTTCTATCTTGGCCGACATGCCATTTCAATAGGCCCAACTTGTCTTGACATCTGAGGTCACAAATTCAGATATAAAAAAAGTAATTAGTACATGTTAAGGTTAGGAAGACCAATCACAAAAATAAAAAATGTAACATTTTTTTTGGCCATCTATGCAATTTTTACATACGATCATAAAAACTATATGTTACATTAAATGGTTAAAAAATATATGTTGGGTGGATTGATTTTGGTCATTAACAATTAAAAAATTGACCTAAAACTATCACTTTAAATGATTTGTACTTCAGTTACATTTTTTATGTTCTAAAATACAGATTTTGAAATAAGAAAAAGACCTGAAAATAAGCTTCAAGTTTCTTTTTGAGAGTTGTATACTCTCTTTTGACCTGTTGGTAAGTTCTCTTGCATCTGCATTACGTCCAATTTATTTTATTAATTAATAATTAACAAATAAAATGAAAAAAAAAAAAAAAAGCTAGAATAGTAATTATTTACCCTTCAGCATTTTGGGCATTGCAGTAAGCCCTAAAGTTGGTGCACTCAGTTTTGACCTTCTTGGCTCCAATGCTAGAGCTACTGCCTTTAAACTGATGCATTAGACTGTCTAATTTATTAAAATCCAAAGGCCTTTTTTCCCTGAAAAAAACAATACCATAATTTAATTTGATTTAAATAATTATAATTAACAAAACATTTAAAAAAAAAAATGAGTCCATACAAGGCTTGATCAAGATTGTGGAGAAAACGAGCAGAATCACGATAGAACAACGTGACAACTTCCTCCACGAAATTGGGATTGGAATTGTCTTGCAACTCTTCTAACTGTATAAATTGTTCATCCAGATATCCCTACAAATAATATATTGGTAATTAATATCATCATAACTGTAATATCTCAACACTAGATATGAATATATGTAACGTATACATATAACATATGATGATGAAATAAAAACCAACCTGGTCGAAAAAGGATTTGCGAGTGTTAGCAATTTGTCTATGCATTTGATTTCTTTCCATCACTAGTTGATAATATATCAACTCTTAAAACTGCTAATTAAAGAAATGTTACAAGTAAAGTGAATGCTAAATACGGAATGCAAGGGGAGGGTTTTATAGGCTCGTGAAGAAAGAGACATGTCAATTGTCATGTCATGTACAAATAAATTCCATCGACTTTAGCATGATATCAACAACAGATTCTATATTTCAACACTTGTTCTCTCTCTATACCAACCAACAAAAGCTCGCTTATCAAACTTTTTGCATGCGAAATGGAACACGGATTCGATTCTTGGAGGCGAGTGAAGTAATATGGAGCGAAAAGTTAAGGAAAAAGGTTCATTCCATTTCCAAAATCCAATTAATGCAAGAATAATGAATATTTAATTTCACTTCAATGTAATATAAATAAATACAAATTGGCATGGAATATGTACACTTATTCGGTTTGTATTTTGGGAGGAGTGTTTTTCCCAAGTAAGAAATCGACAAATATGGGAATTATGTAAAAAAATGGGTGGCTTTTCGCTTTGGGAAAGCATGTTATCGAGTGGGTGAGCGGGTTCTCGTATCATAAAAAGGTTACTGTTACACATGCAATGTAGCAAATGACAATAATAGTAAATCCGAACATATCTCCATACTTGAATCTCATTGGAACATTATAATATTATAAACTTAAAAGCTTATTGTGATGCTCTATGATATGATAGGTAAAAATGTACGGCTTTAAAATACATTTTTAAAATTAATTAAAATCATTTTCAATTACTATACGATGTAACCTCCAAGTTTTTTAAATTAATTGAAATTATTTTCAATTAATATATTTTGGAGCCTGTAACCAGATGTAAAAGGAATCGTGTAAATGCACGGGAATCCGCAAAATAAAAAATTGAAGGCACGTACCGGATACCGATGTTCCATGAAACTTAAGACTACTCTCATTTATGACCAACTAAGTCAGTTGGCTTCATTTGGACAATTATGGTATTTATTTTTATTATCAAACACACTTTATAATTTAAGAAAGTATGTTTTATTTTATTAAAAATAAAATAACAAAATATAATAAAGTTTATAATTTTTTTTTTATAAAAAGAGACTAATATAGATATATTTTTTAATATTAAAAATTTAGGTTGGTTTGAGCTAATGAGAATAAAATTTTGAATTTAGTTGAGTAGTATAGGTGGAAGAAATATAAATTAGTTTTTTTTATATATAATTGAATTGGTTTTAATTGTAAATGGAAGTAGCGATGTGAAATGTGTTATATATTAAAATAATATAAATTATACTACGGACGTGTTCGGCAAAAATTAGCTGGTAGCGGGTAGCTTGTAGCGTTTTGTTAAACGCTACATGAAGTAGCATTTGGATTTGAAGCGTTTTGTTTAAACTAAACGTTAGATGCTTGTAGTGCCGAACGAGACTTTTTGTTCAAAATAGAGCGTTTTGTCAAACATTAGAAGATAAAAGCTCTCAAACGTTCCCAAACGTTCCGTGCCGAACACGCCCTACAATGTACAAACCGAACACCCCTATATATATATATATATATATATATATATATATATATATATATATATATATATTATATATATATATAGAGAGAGAGAGAGAGAGAGAGAGAGAGAGAGAGAGAGAGAGAGAGAGAGAGAGAGAGAGAGAGAGAGAGAGAGAGAGAGAGAGAGCTAAGTTCAAATGTCGATTGACAACTATTATGAGGACGTGTGGACTGTGCTATTCTGTGAGAATGACAAAGAAAATATGTTGTTTGATAATATGAATACGTTTAATCTTACATAACTATTGTCATTATCACACATTCTCACTAGTTAAATCATCTATAAGGTTATTATAGACTTTTTATTATTATTCTCATTCTGTATGTTGTCAGGATGTTTATTGAGTCGTATTCTGTAAGAATGAAAATGAGTGAAAAAAGATGCGTGAGAACAAAAATGAATAAAGATTAGTGAGAATGCATGAAAATGACGATAGTTGTGTGAGGTTGAACGTATTCACATTAAACAGCATATTCTCTATGTAATTTTCATAGAATAACATTGTCCACACGTCCGCACAATAGTTGTCCATCCACATTATAACCCAGCCATATATATATATATATATATATATATATATATATATATATATATTGAAACGTCAAATTATCCTACTCTTTGCATATCATAAATGCGACCGTCCCTTATTGATTGCCTTTCACGATTGCAATGCTTTGGCATTGCATTGTTGTTGTCAACCGTCACTAGTCAGGACTACAACGCTTCATCTTTATCAATTATCTTTCAATTTTTTTATTGAAACGACATTATCATTATATTCAAGTATATAATGTAAGCAAATTGTGCAGTTTTTTTCGATATGATCATCCAAATTTATTTTCTGTTAAAAAACCATCTATTTTTGTATAAAATTACGAACATTATGACATGCAAATGCCAATCAAAAAGATAAATGCCCCTTTTTCGTTCTAAAAAACCACTAAAATTAACCACTCATATTTTCAAAAAATTCTATATTGACCACTACCTATTTTTTATTTATATTTATTTATTTATTTTAGGGGTTCTTTTTTATCAAAAAAGTTAGGGTAAATTACACGAATGATCTCTATGATTTGGAGTAATCTGTGCGTTTGGTTCTTAAACATGTTTTTAACTCGGATCATCCCTGTATTTTGTTATTGTTTCGGTCTTGGTCCCTAAACGATCTAAAATGATTGTACTGCCCTTGATGGATTTTTATGTATTTTTTTAATTAATAATTATTTAATAATATGTATGGGTCCCACCCATCCCCTTATTTCTTCCCTCTACAAATAACTAGTCACATTCACTTCACTATTTCCCCATCTGCATCCCGGAAAAAGCCAAAAGCCATCGTCGGTACCTAATGATGAACCCACATAAGAACTCAACTTGCATCAAATCCACTATCCTCCCCCTCTATCTTAATATGGAATACCTTGTCTCGTATAATCAGAGTTATATTAGTGGTCTTTGACACACATATGTGTAACAGAAAAAGTAAAATCCAAGAAGAACACACAAGTGACGACGGAGAAGAACACACAGAGATTTAAAGAACTTGTATCAAATGCACAATCCAACAATTCTATTTTTAACCTAAATCAAATCCAAGAAAAAAAACTGTAACGCCCGGAGATTCGGGCTAGTCAATTTAAAGACAATAAGTATTAAAAATGACTTTTTGATAGAAGATTATTTAGAATAAATAATCTTAACCAAAGTATAGTATATGTCACAAAGATTTCGTACATTTAAAGAACGCTAAAATACAACTTATAACGAAGAAGTTATGACCCGTCGAAGTTTGGTGACAAAACCGGCACGGCTCCGCTTATCGTAAAAAGTAAATTTTTGACAAAATACTTTTTAGCCTTAGAGATCTAAAAAAAATAGCAGTATATGTTAAACCGAGAGCATGTATATAGAGAACGTCCAAATCTGACTTCATTTGAGGAAGTTATGAATTTTTTAAGATTTTGCATAACAGTATACAGGCCGGAATTCGAATTTTAGATCGATCGATTTTTAGCCGACACAACCTAAACGAGAATTGAAGATCTCGTTAATAGGAGCTCAAAGATATAAAGAAAACCGAAAACGGACGTCGGATGACAAAGTTATAAATTTTTAATGGATTTTAACTGTCTAAGCCTGTTAAAATATAGCTTTAAAAATAAAGTCAAAATTAGCCGACGGAGTCTAAACGAAAGTTGTAGGTCCCATCGATGCCTACACGTGGACATAAAGAACGTAAAAAACGAAGCTCGTATGCGAAAGTTATGGGTTTTAGAAGATAATTAGTTTTTTGAGTAACCAACGAGTGACACGTGGCACCATCACAGCCTCACCTTCTTCCCCACGGCTTCGCACGAGATCGCGACACCTGTCACTTCAACACTCAGTGTTGCCCCTTTTCACAGCCTATAAATAGAGGCACAAAACACTTCATTCCTCACACCTTTCTATCCAACTCTCTCCCAAACCTCCCCAAACCCTCAAGGCTTTTCCCTAGCACCTCCTAGGTGTTAGTAGCGAGTCTCGGAGCACTAGAAGGCCCCGAGAAAAAGAGATTTCGGCTCAGAAGTTCTGCCCGCGCAGTGCCCAGTTTCTCGATAAACCCCCTTGTAAGTGACTTATGCTTACCATACTTTAAGTATAACTTATGTTTAAGTTCATTATCGTTATTATGAACCTATAAACAAAATTTATCAGTGATTCCAAGTCGTTTTATTGATTGATCTACTTATGGGGATGATGTCTAGGATGTGATTTAGTGAGGTGTTTAAAGTGGGATTTCCAAACAGTATACTTCATATACCAAACGGACCCTACCTCCGATATGATACTACCTGGTTGTTTCTTACTTGACAGATCTTGAAGTAGACTTTGAGTTAATGATAAATGTAGATTAATAATTAGCCGCGATAAATAATAAACTAAAAATTAGTTCGGAAATGCTTATGTTTCTACACTGAGAGATTAAAGGAGATGTAGATTATTAGTGTAAATTAATGTAAGGTCTGTTTATGCTTATGTTTCTATATTGACGATGACATCCCAATTTTTTAATATAAATAAAATACATTTGTTCGGAAATGCTTTGATAATATACTTATCATGTTTTCTGGGAACAAATTCCGTAATATTATTCTTCAAAAAGGATACTCTGATTTCTAATAAGCATAAACAAATCGGTCTTTTCTGGCCATAAAAATGGGGATGTCATAGTTGGTATCCGAGCATTAGTTTAAGTGAACTAGGAATTTTAGAAAATTACTAGACTTAAACTTAGAATGCTAAACGATGATTGTGAAATGAGTGTCTGCAATATTTAGGATGCATGCCTAAATAGACACATGCACTAGCTTATTTTAGGAAAGATGCCTAAATTGGTTTTATGTGCTAAATGGTTTACGATGCTTTATGATGCCATTATTTGATCGGATCTATGGTTTGTTGCCGACTGGATCTGGAAATTTTATGTGCTCAGGTTTCTAAATGTTTAGTTACGATATTAGA